GTTTTGTTTCAAATTGCAGTTGGGATTTGAAATTAATTAATTGCTCAACCCGAGTGCATTATACCTCGACTTTATTGAAGACAAGATATAGAAAAAAAAACTTTTTTTAAAATTAAAGGATTTAATGAAAATTCTTAACTTTAATTCTTGAAAAGAATTTTCTTCATGATAATAAAGTTTTATCTTTTTTTTTTTTTTTTTTTAATCTTGTCTTACATTATCTTATCTTAAAATAGTGTCCATTATATTAAACTCAAACATTATACATTATCTGAGTGACACAGTTATGTTTCAGGGGTTTTTCATCAATAAAAACATCTAATAAGCTTAAAAATACAATAAATATTAGGTTAAACGAGTCATTTCCAACCTAGAGATGATTTCCAAGATGGTTTCATGTGTTAAAATTTTACAATATTTGAGAAAAGTACCACATTTTTGCTGCAACTTTATTCCTGTTTTCTACTCATTCATTTTTATGGCCTCTTGGATTCATCTGGTGACTGTTAGGAATTTGTAAACCAGTGGACTAAAATAAATGCATATACATTAGTTCAACTAAATCAGTCCCAATCACAGATATAGAAGAGCACTTTTGACACTTGTAGACTGTTTTGCTGTTCATATTGTTTAACTTTTACTGAAGAAAAGCACGAGTATGTCTATTTTCCATGATGGTCCACATATTTATGACAGAAAACTGAAATTATAGTAAAAAATCATGACATGCTGACATGAAAACCTTTGTATTGATAAACTGCTATAGACTCTTTGTTCATGTGACTAATACCTGCATGACAGTGTTTGTCCTCAATGTTCCTGCTGCACCATGCATTCGAACCAGATTAGGAAAACTACATCTGCCACCTTTTTGTTATTTCTGCACGTCATAGCAGGCAGACAAATTACAATCTGATGAAATTGTGCAGCTTTAACCTCAGTGCATGTCCAGACGAGACTCACCCGTGATTCAGCTGTTTCACATCGATGACTCCGTTTATTGCCAAGTCACATACTTCTGTTGTTCTCACAGGACAACAAGGTGAAATTTGCCCAGTACCTGGAGAAAGAGTACCGCGTGAAAATCAACCCATCCTCCATGTTTGACGTCCACGTGAAGAGAATCCACGAGTACAAGCGGCAGGTCCTCAACTGCCTGCACATCATCGCCATGTACAACCGTAAGTGCAGCGTTTGTGCCAAGAGGTTTCGTAAGTCAACACCGGTCTGATTCTCTGAGCGATAATTTACGTGACACAGTCTGACATGTCCTGATGAGATGTGATGTGAAGTTTCCCCGCCTACCTGTGCCCCAAGCAGGTTAAAACAAACATGAAGAATGCTGCTTTGAGTCGACTGTGGGAAATTTCCATTCAGTTATGAGGCAGTTTTATCAGCATGTTACATGTTCTGTGCAGCATGCTGTTTATTTTGATGCCAGCGTACGTTTCCTGCACTTTTTCTTTGTTTGTGAATGTTGTTCACAAAGAAAAAAGCTCACCTTATACACTGCATGTCTCATGCAATGGCAATCCAAGGAGGTTCATCAAATTGCACGAAATTATTTGCTTAATATTTTTGCCCAGAGCTAGATGAGAGGAGGTGTCAACATGTAGTTGTTTAACAGATTATTAGTGATTAAGGCGACCAGCAAGTGATATTTGGAACCATTAAGCATTAGAAGTGACAATAATACAAAACAAACAATATTTAATAGCTTTATATAGGAAATAGGCTATGTGCATTTCTGGAGATGTCTCAAGATGTGAAATATTTTTTTAAATATGTTTTGTTTTGTATGAATGAGAAGGAAGACGTCAGCATTTTTCTATGTCTGAGGTTTACCTGAAAAGGAATGTAGCCGAGTGTGTTCCCTGTGACTATGTGCATTGACACCAAGCCTAATTCCTTCTACAACAGCTGTAGGAATAAACTGCCTCTACTCTGAAAAACCATCTCAATCCAATAATCAACACATTAGCTTAGCATAAAAATAGGGAACAAGGGGAAACTACTTTTTCCCACTAGCTAAACAGCAGAGACTCCAGATAGTCATCAGGATATAATCCAGCACATAATCGTCTCCCTGTAAAACAGTAAACTTACAGTTTTAAGCCGCAGCTGAAGCAGGCTAGCTGTTTCCCATTGTTTCTTTTCTGTATGCTAAGCTAAGCTAGCTGGCTGCCAGCTCGAATTACATATCTAATTTCTCATCAAATTTTTAGGTGTTTCTTCAAAAATATGTAACCAAAAAAAAATGAATATTAGGTCTGTTATAGAACCGTAACAAATTAAAAAATATTAAAAATTAAAGCAATAAACTGTAAACATATTTACAGGCCAAATTGAACAGGTAGCTTCTTCGTAAATGTAACCCCTAAACACTCATCTCTGTGCATCAAGTTGCATATTTAGAAGACTTTTTCCCTTGAAAATAATCCCTTCCTTCCTTTAAATGCCTTAATGTAACTCCACTCTGCCTCCATCTTCATGCACCCTGCAGCTTTAGCACACCAGCTCACCTACAACTCTGCTCAAAACTACTCCACCAAGTTGACAGGACTGGTTCTTAAAGTTTGTTAGTCTGAATTTGGGTTTTTGAGACGGTCATCACTGTAGTTTCAAGGCAGAAATACTCAGCCGTGGCGCTGACTGCTTATTTCGCTCATGATGTGTCTTCTGGCATATAAAAAAACACCATACTGACTATTGATTTTCACTGAAGAAAGACTTAAAGTTTAAACATGATCAGAGCTGGAGAGTATCTCGGATTAACTGTGCGCAGCTTTGGAGCAAAATGCAGGTTATATGTCCTTTTTTTTTAGTCATGTTTGAATGGTTGTCAAAGTAGGTTTAAATCAGTTCCCATTCATAGTCAGTGCAGAGACCTGAGTTCAGAGTGTTTCTGTTAAAACTGCATCACTCATATTGTCTTTTGTTGTTGTTCCCAAGGCATCAGAAAGAACCCAACTGCGCCTTTTGTACCAAGAACGGTGATCATCGGTGGAAAGGTATCAGCTCAGGCCAAAGCAAACCTCACAAACAACACTGAAGTGAATCTAAAGGCCAGTATTTTTATTTTCATCGTGCTTTGTCGCCCTCTGCAGGCTGCACCGGGGTACCACATGGCAAAGATGATCATCAAGCTGATCACTTCTGTGGGCGACGTGGTGAACAACGACCCCGTGGTGGGAAACAAGCTGAAGGTCATTTTCCTGGAGAACTACAGAGTGTCTCTAGCAGAGAAAGGTACCATTTGTTCTATATAATAATAAAAAAAGAGCATAATGTGAGTTATGTTACTTATAATGAATTTTCCCTGCTCTTCTTCAGTGATACCTGCCACAGATTTGTCAGAGCAGATCTCCACCGCCGGCACGGAAGCTTCAGGAACAGGAAACATGAAGTTCATGTTGAATGGAGCTCTGACCATCGGCACCATGGACGGAGCCAACGTGGAGATGGCCGAGGAGGCCGGCGAGGAGAACCTCTTCATCTTCGGCATGAGGGTGGAGGACGTGGCCGAAATGGACAAGAAGGGGTAAAAGGGGCCTCTTTCGTAGCTTTTACATTTTTACATACTCTGTGATAGATGATTTTAAACCCATCTTCATTTGTTCTTCGTTAGATATGACGCCATGTCGTACTACAAGAAGATCCCTGAGCTGAAACAAGTCATGGATCAGATCACGAGTGGATTCTTCAGCCCCAAAAACCCAGACCTTTTCAAAGATCTCACCAACATGCTCTTCAAATATGACCGGTGAGTCTGTTTTTTTTTTTTTAAACGCTTCTTTGAGCTCTTTTGTTGAGTTCAGGTTGTCAGACGTATTGATTCACATGACTTATTTATCCACCTTTGTCTCCCTTTAGTTTCAAAGTGTTTGCAGACTTTGAAGACTACCTGAAATGCCAAGAAAAAGTCAGCAAACTCTACCAGGTAACGTTTTCAGACAGACCAGGATCACACTGTGTTTGCAAATTTTTGTGGTTCGTAGTAGTCCTTTTGTTTCGTTTCGTTTCCTTTCCTTTCCTTTCGTTTCCTTTCCTTTCCTTTCCTTTCCTTTCCTTTCCCACTCTCCCTGTCCTTTACATTCATTTCCTTTTCTCTTCTTTCCTTCCTTTTCTCAATTTTTTCTCAATCTCCATTTCCTTTCCTTAACTTTCCTTTCTTTGTTTTTTTCTTCATTTCTGTTTCTCTTCTCTTGCTTTTCTTTTCTTGTGTTTCCTTTTCTGTCCTTTTCTTTCTATCCCGACAAAATAGAGAACGACTCACAAACTTCAGCAGGAATAATGAAATCTTAAACTTAAGAAAATGACCATTAAATCAACAAGGAAAGCCTACCAGGGTAGATATCAAACGTAAAATGTGTTGTTTTTCCTGTAAAAGAATCCGAAAGAGTGGACAAAGATGGTGATCAAGAACATCGCAGCAACAGGAAAGTTCTCCAGCGACAGAACCATCACAGAGTATGCCACAGAGGTGTGGGGCGTCAAGCCGACCGACCTGAAGATCCCGGCACCCAATGAGCCCCGAGAGGCCATCGAAGAAACCGCCAGAGCTCTGAAGAAAATGTGAGGCCGCCCGCATGTTTACGTCGCATTAACTGTTCCATTTTAACTTTCAAGTTACATGACTCAACTTTTTTAAGGTTGCACATTTTTCTCCCTCTTGTCAAAGCACTGTTACAGTTTATTAGCACCAATGCATGCAGTAAAGTCACTGTTCAGACCAAGCTCAGATATTTGAGAATAATTTGCTCATATTTTACATTCCTGAAGTGCAGGAGGCGGTTTCAGGAATCCAGTAGGAGCTGAGTCACAGAGCAGCTGACTAAACTGATTTTTTTTTATGTTACGTTCCTGCGACTTCATGTGGCATTACTGAGAGACAAACATGTCTGTACTCCAAAGTATTTCAAGGATTTATTTGCAGAACTTCATTCATTTGTGATCTACAATTGTTCTTCCCAGTGTTGAAATAAAAACGTGAAGCGTAATACATTACGAAGTGGTTTTATTTCAAGTTTCAGAAGACATATGTGCATTTTTGTGGTAAACAATCTGGTTGAACTGGAATTTGTGAGTCATTATTTTACAAAATATGAAACAACTGACATAGAAAGTCCAGAGGAAGGAAATGCCACTCTACTTTCTCACTTTTTCTAGAAATTTCCTGCAAAGAAAAACAGAGGAAAACAGATAAAAGTAAAATAAATTTTTGGTATGTAGGAAGCATGATCGTCTACATAGAGTGAAGGCGATTCACCGAATGCCTCTCGTCTGACCATCTTCAATTAGACAGATTTTTATTTAAAGTGATAAATATTGATTGAGTTGACTAAACGTAAAATCCGGGGTCGTAGCTAACATTAGCTTTTCCGTTAAAAATTCTTAAAGAGAGTGGGGTCATGTCGATTTTTGCATCTTTTTTTCACAACAATCTGTGGAGGAATGTTTGAAGTGCCATAATTTGATAAATAATGTGGGTGGAGCCTGAAATTTTGCGATCTCATTGATTTGTACTTATGATCTTTAATGGTACAAACCCTGCTTTGATAGAATAATACAAACCAGGTATAAGATGGTGCAAATTTGGTCAAGCAACTTCAATGTTTTTGGTTACCCCGGTATTCCACTAACCATAGAACCTTGATATTGACTCTAAAAGACTGATTTGATTTTTCTGTGAATGGAACAAAGGAACTTAAAAATGTGTCGTATGGTGCCCATCAGAGGTGTACTTTATGAGAAAAAATATGTAGATATATATCTTTTTTGCATTTATGGCCAATATTAGGACAATCATTGAGCAGGGGTGATGGTGAAACCACTCCAATAGGTGTGCACTTTTTAAAAAATTTGATGAATTGAGGTGGACTGACCCAAAATTGTCTATTATGCCCCAATTAAACCCCCAAAATGTACATTTTATTTACAATTCTAGTGATTTTGGTACTTGTGAATTTCCCTTGATGGCACCAAAAATTTATTTATGCAGGAAAAAACATGATTTACTTTTCGACAAACAGCAGGAGTTTGGTTTTTTAGGATAACTAACTCTAAAAGCAAAAAATTGTGAACCTCCTTATTAATAACTTTAACTCACCTAACCACATCTGACAAATTGGGATCCAAGTAGACCTGGCTGTGGAAGATTCCAAGACTTGCATCGTAGGAGATCATTTCAATGTGAGCATCTGCCTTGAGTTTTTTCCGAGCCTGGAGGGAGATCTGGTGCAGCTGCAGACAGCAAAGTATTTCAGCAAAGGAGGAAGCAATATCCACGAGGAAATTGTCTGAATGCAGAGGAAGAGTGGGAACGTGCTGTACCTTCAGACCCATGTGATGCGGAACAACATGGTCGTCCTTTGCGTGCAGGATAAGAAGCGGACTGGTCAGCATCTGTAAACTGTATAAATGTAGGAGTGAGAAAAAAAAAAATTCAGAGTCAGAGATGGATTCAATAAAATAGTAATCAACAGAAACTCCCACACTTACTTCTTAGTGTTATCAAACACTATGTTGATCTTCTCCATTAGCTGCCAAAGCAAGCTCTCAAATCCTGGGAGAAAACTGTACGGCTGGAAAAACAGACAGCAAAAAATGTGCAGAAATATGTTGCAATATCCTGGTTACTGTATGTGTTTGTAGAACAAATATGGCTGCATAAAAAAATCTGTTTACTTTAATAGAGATAAAAACAGCAGGTTCACTATCTCATATTGGCTTTAATATGTAACATTATCATGCATTTACACAAATGGCAAGAATTAATGAGCGCCACATTTTTCAACAGTTTCTGCTCGACCGTCTCTGAAATGCCTGAAAACTTTGTGGTATAAAATATAGATATTTGTCAGGATGTTTGTGAAATTTTAGCTTTATACATGACATACTTTCCTAGATTTTTGGATTTTTGTGTTTTTTCCAACATTGAAGTTTGAGGCTGTATTTGAAAAACAATATCTCAGGTAGAATTAAAGACAAAAGCAGGAAATTTCCACTGTTTTTCTCACCATGTCATTTATTCAGAATCTGCAATATGTAGTTTTAAAACTCCAGAACTCTGTATGACCAGGATTAGACGATCTATTTTAGTTTTTGTGGAACAGCTCGTCATATCAGCTCAATAAGTTCTGAAAGTTCAACAACAGTGGCTTTTTTTATTTTATTTTTGTAATCAAGTTTTCCATATTAAAAAGTATCCTATATGTATTGTTTTGTATTGTTTTGACACTGAAATACATGTGGTTCAGAAACTATCACTAGTTGACTTCTGCATTAGTGATTTATTTGTTCATGTGAGCTCAAAGATGAGACTTTTCATGACGGCTTCTTCAGTTTTTTCAAATATTTCATCTCACCCATATCCAGAAACTATTTGATCGACTTGTCAAATACTGTAGATTCTGAATCAATGACATGATTAAAAGTAACAGTAACATTTTCAGGCTTTTATCTTGAATAGGTCCTAAGATATTGTCATCACAACATGGCCTCAAATTGTGAAAAATAATAATAATAAAGTCACCCAAAGTATTTGATATATCGAGCCAAAATTCCACAGATACCATTTTAAACATCCCTAGTTAATGATTAATAAAAAAAAGTTTCAAGCAAATCAGGAGTGGTCGAGCAGAAGGCCCCTGATAGTTGGAAATGGAAGATCGCTTAAATGGTTTAAATATACTGCAAGTGCATTTGAAGAGTTCATTTGCCAAAACAGATAACTCCATTTTTGTTGTTTGCTTGAGAAAATATCAATGAAACTGAAGTTGAGTGGATTTGACTCAGTAGAAATGACAAAACCAGAGATAGCTTAAGTTTGATTGATATGGTCTCAGGTAGACGATGGAAAAGCGGGTTTTCTGAAGCTTTGTGAAGATGCAGCTATCTGTTATTGCAAATGAACTCTTCATTTGTTTGTGCCTTTAATACTAATGTAGTTAAACGTAATATACCGTCACTGTGGCTTAATATGAAGCAGCAAAAAAGAGAAAAAATTCCCCAGTCTAATTAAAAATGCTGAGTAATTACTTTTCAATTTTTTCCACAAACATTTGTTGTAGCAGCATCGAAGCGCTTCATATGACAGTATATGCACATCTTTAGAAAGAAGACAAAAATGAGTCCAGCTGTGTTTTGGTGGGATGACAAACAACCTGAAGGGGCTGCAGATGTGAAGTAAAGTCAAACATCTGGCCTCACCTTAGCCAGCCGATGGATGGCTACAACCTCTCTGATTCTGGTGTACGGGGCCTGAAGGACGATAGCATCAACTGCAGACCCTAAATTTAAACACAGTGAGGTAAGACTGATTAAAAACATCAGAAAAAATAGAAGGAATAGGTGCTCGATTTATACGTACAGGCTTATACAGTTAGTGTTTATGGAGGCAGCATGTTTTATTGTGGAGTTATTTCCTGTTGTTCTAGTTGACCAGTGAGACATGACAGTCTACCAGCATAAACTAAAGCAGCTAAACAGAATTCAACGAATAGTTTCTTTCGCCTAATTCTACCGGAATGAGTGAAAATATATATGTGTCGGAGATGCTACATGGTGTTTAAAGAAAACTCACCTTGCTCTTGTAATATCACTGCTGCATTGGTTGCCACGCTACAAAAAAAAGATGTAAACATTTACTGTCAAAGTTTTCTCTCCACTGTTTTCTTTTTTTTTCTATTTGTGTCATGAGAATTGTTTGTGGCTCAAAAAGAGAGAATAACCGACCCAGAGCCAAGCGAGTGTCCCCACAGACAGACGAAACCCCCTCTGCTCTGCGTCTTGGCCCAGTTGTACAGGTAGAGGGCGTCTCTGGTCAGTCCCGCTTCACTGGGCTCCCCGGTGGAATCTCCAAAACCTCATTAAAAACACACATTAACAGCCTCAGAATCACAACACAGTGCTGTACGTTCACTGACAGGATGCTCGACTCTGTTTCAGACCTGAGGAAACCAATCACCTGCTGTTTGGGCTGACTTTATATGCAACAATAACAACTGCAAAACCAACATTTTTCTGTTTTTTTTCTTACCTTGTGACATTTAGTTAACCCAAAACACTAAAAAATACTCTGTTGGTTAGAAATTTTGACTCGTCATTTGATATAAAATGGTCACAAAATCCAATAATGACCATAAAAGCTGTTGTACAGCAAATATGGCCTTTTTTCATGCTTAATGTGTTATATGGGGTGTGCATCTTTGTTAAAAATATCAAAGAAATCTACAACAGAAATCAAAACTCACACAGTCAACACCAATCATAGATGTAGTGAATAAGGAAATGTCTTGTATTTAACCCTGATTTTCAATGTAAAACTAAATTTCTCTGGTAAAAATATGTCATAAAAGTCAAGTTGATCAACATTTCTAATAAAATTCTGAAAAAATCTTGTCAAGCTAAGCTGATTAAACAATGTTTAGTGTGTATTTTGAGTTGTTAAATATGCCACAGAGCCTCCAGGGCGTTGACTAGGTTTGTATTTAGTGCAACAATGATCTCTTGGAGAGCAACAATAACCATCTTACCTCTGTAGTCTAAAGATAAGACGTGGTATCCTGTAGAACTCAAGATCTAAAACATTAAAAAAAAATAATAAATTAGAATTTTATTTTAAAGCTCAAATTCAAAAATATTCACCGAACCGTTCATGAACATAAACCTCACCTTCACGAGTTCCACTCTGTGCTTTAATGCCCTGCAGAAATTAAACGAGAGCGATGAATAAACAAAAACAAACAAGTGGCTTTCACTTATTCTGACGAACAAACCCCAGCAGGCATTGTTCCCCTGGATAAAACCTGAGCAGCCATGTAATACCCACTAGACTCTATTAGGATCAATTCAAGGATCTCTAGCTCGCCGCTCTCATCCCACCTGGTCCCTACGTTGCCATGGAGAAAGATAATAACAGGACGGCCGTCCCCCAGAGTCTCCCGGTACCACTCAGGGCTTTTCCCGGAGGCCTCCTCCCATTGGCTGGCGGGGAGTGTATGCCTATGAGACACAAAGACAGAGAGGGAGAGATGATCAGAAAGAGTGAGCAGCACAAACAAACAGTCTCTTCAGGACGTACAGTAGGTTTCTGAGTGGGTCTCGTGCAGCTTTACGGAGAATACATGCGGTGTTTTCGAGTACTGATGCACTTAAAATGGACACAACAGGACAACACGGCCGACCTACCACACTCCCACTGAGACGCCCTCCTCAGTGTTGAGGTACAAGTTGCATGTGTGGTTCAGGACGTCTTCAGGTCTGCTGAGATCCACGAAGAATGGAAACCTCACTGCAGCAGATGAGAGCGCACAAGGTCAGTAAGATGCTGCAGGTCATGTAGCATTATTTAAAATTATTTTGTCTTCATATTGTCACGCATTGCAATGTGATGAAATGTCACCGTATCCTACCGTGTTGTTGTCTGAAGAGTTTACAATGTTTGAAATATAAATCTGTTCATATCAAATCAAACCCTGAATCTTACAGGTCTCGTACATTTTCTTACAAATACAAATAGAATTAATAACATTATATATAGTATAATAGTAACAAAATTAATCATAAAACTTTGCTTAGTTAGAACCATTTAAAAACAAAGTTTGCAAAGTGCTTT